TTGCTGGGCCGTTAAATTGGATTATATTGGAGGACAGTGATTATAACCACTGGAGTAAAGTTATCTTAATAATGCTATGTATGTAATAATGTAAAGTTAGTTTAATTATGCCTTAATGCTGATTAAGGCATTATTAAACGAACTTTTCCGATTGCTTAAATCAAGATGCCGATTGCTGATCTGTCCTCAATCAGTCACAATCACCACAAATAATTTTTGGGATGCAGGATTGAGGGTATATATTCTCCTTCCGTTATTAGACATGGTCTCTTTGGAAGATACTTTTTCCAGTACTTTTATCAGTCGGTTAATTAATATGGTTGGTAGAGAAATATATAAGTATATATAGGCTTTAGTGCAACAAAAGATTTTAATGGTACATTTTAAGACGGCTGGCACACTCATTTCCCAACTGTTTTTGTTTACCCAGCCAATAGCTTTTTTCAAAGACGGTAGCGGCAGCGTATTCTTTTCATTGCGCCCCGGGGGGAGATTGGCCGTATGAGTAATAGACTGGTTGTACGCATTAAGCTATTACCTGAGCCTGTGCCCCTTGGCTTGCTTTACCTTAAGTATTACCTGGCCTCTGGTCCCAAGCAAAAATGAGGGGTGGCTAAATCCGAAGGGTAGGTGGAGCGAACTTTCGAAACCGCTTTCGGCGACGAGAGGCAGCGAGCGGAGTCTCGAATAACCGGAGTATGCATTTCTAAAACACGCTCACTCGTACCCGTGGCTCCCGTTCGCGTAGTACACGTACGAGCGCGGTGTAGTCTATCGTCCATGGTTAGCCCCGTGACGCAAACGGGCGGTCCACCCCCGCGTTGAAGATGGCTACGTCCGCAGCCAATGGATTAGACTAGAGCTGGAGTTCTCTACTGCCAGTCTACCGGGGTTCGGAGTCGTAGATCGGCACGTCTTAGCAGCCCTGCTGGAATGCGGGCAATGCACCTCTTCTAGCACGCGCGTGATTGGCAATCAACAGTGAGTGTGTGGAGGTTTGCTCGTTGCTATCTATCTACGGTGGACGTTTATGTATTTCGCCGCGGTGAGCGTGGGAGAAATTCGGGCCGTATCATAGCTGGGGAAGCAGCAGCAGCAGCAGCGCGCGGCCTATTGCTGGTGAGTGAGTGTACGTAGGCGCGAGCGCGCGTGATCGGGGTGGTGGTGGGTGGGGGTGAGGGGTTGGGGTCGCATGTACATGTACGTGCGCGCGGGGGGGGGGGGCCCGCACGGGGGGGTGCAGCCCGCCACGGACTTTTACTAGTACTAGCTTACGCGAGCGTGTAGCCTCTGCGCTGGTTTTAATAGCCTCAGCTGAAAAGTCAGTTATAATACTAATAGTACGTCTGGGACGTACGGAACTATCGTGGCTGCCTGCTGCCCCCACAGACGCACGCAGTGTGGGCCATGCAGCCGACGCTATACATAGTACTACTACTAGAGACTACACACAGTTCCAAAGCACGCTGTTCAAACAAGCGTACGTAAAGCGTACATAAGCGGGCAAGATATGAATATTGCGATAGCGCGATGGCGCACGCGGTGTTTCGTGGCTCTGCGCGCTGGACCAGCCTTCGTACGTGCATACAAGAAATCTCGCCAGAGATCTTAGAGTTAGAGTGTTCTCTCTAAAGCCGTTCACACGCGTGCGACATAGGTGTGTGTGTGTGTGTGTGTGTATATCGTACCGGACATATAGCGGTGAGTCCTCTTCGTGCATAGCGGCTATTAAGGGAGGTGAGTTAATTTTAGTGATTTAAATGCGTACGTGTGGCGAACATGACAGATGTTGTGTAAACATACATATACGTGTGTGCGCGAGCGAAGTGTTATTTGCGATGTCATTGGCTTACCCCCCCCCCCTACCCCAACTTGCTTTAATTTACTGTAGCTTGATGAATGTGTTACACAACGAATACGAGTCTATATCTTACATAGCTCTAGAACTATAGTATAGCCCTTCGTTCTGCCACAGGCCTGAGCCACAGGCGTACCACGTACAGGCCTGTGGCAGAGCGAAGGGCTATAGTTCTAGAGCTATATCTTACATTGATGACGCCTTCCATACTCTACGCCCATATTTGAATGCTCCTTATAGTACCTTTATGATTTTGTTTATAGTTATAAGCACGTTTTTGTTTCGTGCACATATGGTGTTACCGTGTACATTATACTATAGATGCGTGGGCAGAGTACAGTAATTTCGGAAGGATGGTGAATATGTTCATTCATCAGATAAGCAGAGTAACTATAGCTGACTCATATAATTATGAGCAAGAGCAAATATAAACTATATTTACAGTTTACGTGTTCTTTGTATGAGTTATAGTCAGATGATATATATATATATATATATATATATATATTATTTGGTTTCCAAGCAGATCAATTAGAATACTATCATTACTATACTAGTACTACTATATATACTAGGTATACTATATGCTATATAGTATACTATATTCTATATACTATATATACTATTATATATACTATTTACTATATATACTATATACTATATACTATATACTATTAATACTATATAGTATATAATATACTGTATACTATTTACTATATACTATATACTATTTACTATATACTATATACTACTATACTAGGTATTATTAGCTCTTGAAACTATGAAACTAGCCATGCAGTGTCTTGACAGTCGTGCGTGTACACGCCTGTGTGTGCGTGCGTGAGTGCGTGTGTGCGTGCCTGTGTACGTGTGTGTTTAATTGTTATATATATATGTCATATATGCACACTAATTACTGGTGATATTATGAAAATCTACCGATCACAACACTTCCGTCGCAAGAAAATACTAAAGGCCACACACCCGTTGAAGAAGTGCAATATGACAGTATAGGTTACATGATTTCAAGTAGAGATCATAATGCTGATAGGGTCTATGTTCCCCAGGGTACTGCTGGAACGTACCCTGGGTACGGTCCGCTTTACCGGAACGTACCCTGGTAACTATTTGATATGGTTAGGGTTAGCGGTTACTTAGGGTTAGGGTTATGGTTAGGGAGTAGACGTAGGCGACTCCCTAGACTCGTTAGTGGAGTAGGCGAGGTACGGTCCAGCATATTAGATATACGTACCAGGGTACGTTCCGGCCAGTACCCTGGGGGACATAGACCCTCTCAGCGATAGGCATGGTGAATAATAATAGCAAGGTGCTGTAAGTAACTAATACTAATAGTAATAGTAGGCCTATAGGCTATAGAGAAGCGGCAGCAGCTCAAATCTGGCTGCTCACCTATAGTCTATACCAACACGTACGTTGGAGTACGGAGATACAGAGACTTCACGGCAAGACGTCGTGTGCCTTTCACGTATTGAGTGTGTGGTGGTGTGTGTGTGTGTGTGTGTGCGTACGTTGCGTGCGTGCGTGCGCGTTCGTGCGTCGCGTGCGTGCGTGCGTGTGCGTTAGGCGTGTTCGTGTGCTGGCGTGGCGGCAGCGTGTTGTGCGTGCGTGTGTGCGTGGGCGTGTGGTGTGTGTATGTGTGTGTGTGATTTTTTGCGTGTGCGGGTGCGTGTGTGCGTGTGTGCGTGCGTGCGTGCGTGCGTGCGTGCGTGCGCGTATGCGCACGTGTTTCTGCGTATGTTAATAATTATTGTGAAACCAGTTTACGCTAGCTGGGCGCGTTTAGCATTGTCACGAAGCTATTTATAATTTTTTTAAACAAGTTTTAATTCAGCTCGAGTGCGAGCGTGCGTGGCAAGATTTGCACGCGGAATTTAAAGTACGCTGAAAGTTACGTGTGTAGGTCACGGTTTCTTATATTTGCGTTCGAAATGGAAATCGGCGTCTAATTAACAAACACAGGTGTGTTGGGGTTCCGCGTAACGCATCCTTGTTGTTACTTCTGGGAAAATTTTCATGATTAGTCACATATATACGTACGTTTGTGTACATATACCTTGTAGAGTACAAGTACATGCATGTGTTCCTCTGTTACCTTGCTATCATATCAAACCTGGCCGCTGTTTGTTTTCCTGACAGTGTCTAATGTCTATACTGTCTGGCTAGGTGGGTATAGGGTGTACCGTGTTAGAGTAGTAACAAGATTAAAATATGAGAAAGGTTATCGATGTGAGACCAGTATATAAGGTTTCCACCTAGCACTTGTCAGTATATACATGTATTCAAGTAAAATCAGAACCTCGATCATTTTCAAGAATTCGTCAATTTGCTCTGAGTTTTAAAGAAGGAAACCAGTTAATTAAATCTCATTTATTGGAGAAATAATAAATGCAATTATGCAATAGACTATGATCTGCTGTTAAAACTGTGAATAATAGCTAGTTGATTATAATAATATGAGTTATCACAAAGTTAGTATAAAATCATAATTTCTTAGCACACCAATTAAGCTGTGCTTTATTCATTAATTGAGTGCACTTTCTTTGAGTATTTGTACTATTCTTGCAGGCTTGAGAAAGAAATGGCACGGGTTTAGGAAATCCTAAATAAAGGCTTGAACTTCTTAAAACTTTAACTAAAAATCTTGAAAAACTTGTAAATTTTAAAACTTCGGGATATCTTCGACAACTAATAAAAACAAACTCACTATATACCTAGAAACTTACGAGAATGTTATTTTTCATTTTTACAGAACGTGGACATATAATGAGTGGTATGCTGTAGTAGACGTACGGAGGGAAAGTATACTAGTATAGACAAGTTACACACGTGTCGCGACTCGAGTCACGCTCGTAGGATATCCTGTGAGTGTGACTGTCCAGCAACTCTCGAGTCTCGTACGTTAGTCGCGGGCGAAGCCATCATGGTTACCGCGTCGTCTGCCCCGGCGTTGATCGTCGTCGCCATGACGATCTACGTCTGCGTGTCACCGGTGTGCTTCGCGGAGCTGCCGCGGTTTCGCGCGGCGACGCCGACGCAGCGAGTCGTCGTCGACGCGCGGACTCACAGCGTCATCGTCGGCGCCACCAACGCCCTCTACCAGCTCACGCCCGAACTGACCGTCATGTTCGAGTACGCGACCGGCCCCGCGTCGGCGGCGGCGGCCGACTGCGCGCCCGACGCGATCGCGTGCGACGACCGCAAGGGGGTGCCGGTGGACAACGTGAACAAGGTGCTAGCGATCGACGGGAACGCGTCGGTGCTGCTCGCGTGCGGAAGCGCGGGTCTCGGCGTCTGCACCGCGCACCACCTCCCGAACGTGTCGCACGCGCGCGCGATGGACGCCGCGCACGTACCCAACCTCGTAGGGGGCGCCGGCTCCGTCGTCGCCTTCTTCGCGCCGGCCGCGTACCCGCCGTACGACGGCCGCGACGTGCTCTACGCCGGCGCCACCTACGACGACCGCGCCGAGGAGCGCTTGCCGGCGACGGTGTCGTCGCGGCAACTGCGTTACGGCGATGAGAGCATCCGGTTGGACTACGCGGTGGACAAGGCGACGACGCTGTCCTACATCGATATGCTGGGCGAGTATCGCGCGTCGTACGAGATCCTCTATGTGTATGGCTTCAGCAACAAGAACTTCTCCTACTTCCTCACCGTGCAGCGCGTCAATCTGACGTCGGACATCTTTGAGAGCCGGCTGGCGCGCGTCTGCCAGGTGAGTGACGTTCACTTGTCTTTCGTGGTCGCCAGGGGAAAATTTTTTTTTTTTACGGGAGCTCTTTTTCAAAACTTCTGTGGAAAAAATAGAGCTCTCGTCAAAAATGTTACGGGAGCTGTTTTGAGCCTCACGGGAGCGATTTGGGAGGTTTGAAGAGCGAATCGCTCATCGCTGCCGTGTATTTTTTACCCTGCTGGTCACGTCTCCGCCATTCCTGGTAGCCTGGCTGAACTGACTCCATAAAGCTGGGTTTACACTACCGAGTTTGTGTTGCCGAATTC